TCTAGTTCCTGTCAGTAAATTCACTCTCTACCCTCTTCTGCAGCCAGCCCCAATCATTAACTTAAGCAGATAAATGGGAGAATAGAGATGACAAAAATACTAACACAATACTAACCTACCAGCAAACTACAAATACATTTCTACTGAACATTAAACAACTTACCAAACAAAAGAAGACGAGCCCCCATTTTGTCACAACCTGGCTCAAAAGAGTGTGACAAAGAGGGAGACCACACAGTCTGGGAGTTAACAGAATTTAATTAAGTAAATAACAAAATAATAAATACAGTTTAATATTTCAGTATCAGTAAATCAGTATGTCTGCAATGTCTGTGTGAGTGAAGGGTGAGGTGTAGATGTATGAATTTAAAACCCAGAACACAAACAAAAACCAGTAGTTCAGTCAGCAGGCCAAGGGAAGAGAGTGAGAAAGCCTTGCAGGTGTGATTGATAGCCTCCTGAGCCCAGCCTGCTCAGGTGAGCTACATCAGAGAGTAATCTCAGCTCCACCCCTTACTTCCTGAAACAAAGAGCAAACAATCCAAGCAAGAGGAACAGAATAAGGCCATCCCTAGGGTCGTCACATTGGCTAAAACCCCTGGGTCAAGAGTGGGCTTTTTAAGAAGGGGTTTAATTACAGCTACTTTAAAGGACTGTGGTACATATCCTGATAATAAAGAAAGATTAATCATATCCAGTAAAGAAGTGCCAATTAAGGGAACAACTTCTTTAAGCAGCCTAGTTGGGATCGGGTCTTATAGACAGGTTGATGGCTTCGATGAAGAAATTATTGAAGTTAACTGATGAAGATCGATAGCAGAAAAACAGTCTAAATATATATCTAAGTTTACATTAGCAAAAGTCCCTGAACATGGAGAGTCACTGATAACTGTTGATGGCAGTTGGTGATTAATTTTCTCTCAAATAGTAATAATTTTATTATAGAAGAAGATCATGAAGTCATTGGTACTTAAGGTTATGGGGATATGTGGCTCAATAGAGCTGTGGCTCTATCTTTTTATGTTGAACTCTTGTTTTTATTTCTTTAAATAATTTAGGTGGTCGGGGGACAGACACAGTCTCTATGGGGTTTTGGGTGGGTGACTGTTCTAAAGAAAGCGCAGAGAAGTGTGTAAGACAGCAGCTCTGCTTCCTGGTCCTAACTCTGGACTGTCAGGTTTTAGAAATAAACTTCGCCATATTTCTAGATAAGAGAGCCGCTCCATCCAAAGTGGGATGGATGCCGTCTCTCCTAATCAGACCAGGTTTTCCCAAAAAGGCTTCCAGTTATCAATGAAGCCCACATCGTTTTGCTGGACACCACCTCGACAGCCAGCGGTGGAATGACGACATGCGGCTATACATGTCATCACTGGTCACATTGGGCAGGGGTCCAGAGAAAACTACGGAGTCCGACATAGTTTTAGCATAGTTACACACCCGGTCCACATTAATTTTGGTGATCTCCGATTGGCGTAAACAGGTGTCATTACCGCCGACGTGGATAACAATCTTACTATATTTACGATTATCTTTAGCCAGCAGTTTTAAATATGATTCAATGTCGCCCGCTCTGGCCCCAGGGATACATTTAACTATGGCCGCTGGCTTCGCTAACTTCACGTTTCTGACTATGGAGCTGCCAATAACCAGAGTTGGTTCCTCAGCGGGTGTGTCGCTTAGTGGGGAAAATGTTTTATTAAATGTATTATACATTTTAGTCTTCCTTCGCTCAGTCACCCAGCCTCCCTGTCTTCCCGGCTGCTCGGGAACTACCGGGGGAACTACCGGAGGACGGCTAACAGAAGCTACCTTCGGTCGGACCGCACCGGCTACTGGGGGCTGGCTAACTATAGCGGCTAAGGATATCGCAGTGGTGTGGTGCCGTTCCTCTAACTCACGAAGCCTCGCCTCCAGCGTAGTAAATAAACTACACTATGGAAGAAGCCATAGCTAACTGCTAATGTTAATGAAGCTAGCATGTATGAAAAACTTTGAAAATAGCGAAAAGTCGCTAAAAGAGGGAGTAACTCCGAGTGTTTAGGTAGAACTAGTGTACGTATAAATGTTAAGCGGGAAAATAACCGCTGTAACGAGTAAAACAAATTTAGATTTAGCGTTCACTGACAGAGCTACAGCACCAAACAGTGTACACAGAGCAGGAAGTAAACCGGAAATGAGTCAGTACGCTTACCGTAGCACGTCACCACAGACTTTAACAGGAGCCAGAGCCTTCAGTTACCAAGCTCCTCTCCTGTGGAACCAGCTTCCATTTGTGGTTCGGGAGGCAGACACCCTCACCACATTCAAGAGTAGGCTTAAGACATTCCTCTTTGATAAAAATTATAGTTAGGGCTGGATCAGGTGAGTCCTGAACCATCCCTTAGTTATGCTGCTATAGGCCTAGACTATCGGGGGATTTCCCATGGTGCACTGAGCTCCTCCCTTCCTCTCTCTTTCTGCACTCATTCATGTCCCATTAATGCATGTTACTAACTTTACTTCTTCCCCGGAGTTCTTGTGCCTTCTCGTCTCGCAGGTTCTTATCGATCCTGGTTGAGCCTCCTGCCATGGTCCTGCTAGATTGCCATTGCCAATACTGTTGTTGCTGTGCACCTGTCTGTCTGTCTACTCTCTCTCTCTCTCTCTCTCTCTCTGTCTCTCTCTCTCTGTCTCTCTCTCTCTCTCACCCAAACTGGTCAAGACAGACGACCACCCACCTAGAGCCGGAGGATCTGTCCTAGGTTTCTGCCTTTTAACAGGCAGTTTTTCCTTGCCCTTGTCGCCAAGTGCTTGCTCATGGTGGTACTGTTGGGTCTCTGTAAATAATGTTAAAGGAGTTCGGTCTAGACCTACTCTATTTGAAAAGTGTCCTGAGATAACTTCTGTTATGAATTGGCGCTATACAAATAAAATTAAATTGAATTGAATTGATGCCGATTTGCGTTACTTTCAGTGTTTCAGAAAAAGTGCTCTGAAGATTGTTCTCAGTCATCCTCAGCAGTGGCAGTGATGTAGAGTGATGACATTGCGGACATTAGGCCCGCAATGTCATCACTCTACATCACTGTACATCACCATCAGCTCACCTTTCAGTTTCTCCCTGCATATCATCGGGTAATGTTCACATGCAATGTCCAGCTGCTTCTGCGGTTTAGTGTTCTTAAACAGCAGAAAGAGTTCAGGGTCAATAAGTTCAAAAGACACCAAGTGTATACCTTCCTCAAAGTGAGCCTTTGACTGCTTGACCATTATGTCACAGCACTGTGCAGCTACTGACACATTATCAGAGCGCCATCCTCCACATCTGGATGTGGCTGATGAACTGTGGTCAGCAGTTCAGATATGGAGCATGAAAAATTCTCCAGGGCCTGTCTCGTTTTGAGAGAATCTGTGTGAATGCCTGTTTTTCTTTACCAGCTCGTTGTGTCTCTGTACAGGATGCGGTGACCCTCATTAAGTTGACAGGCAATGTTCACTTTAGTCAAGTCAGCTTTATTGTCAGATGTGCTATACATGCACGACATAGAGCAAAAATGAAATTTCAGTCCTCTCGGACCCACAGTGCAAACATGCAATAAAAAATAGATAAGACATAAAAATAAAAAATCAACATTTTAAACAAGACATAAAATAAACAATCAATAAGACATAAAATAAACAATTAACAATCAGAATCAAGGCACTTGAGTATTTACAGGATGAAATAAAATAGGATAAATAAATAAGTATTTAAACAGGTGAGGTAGTGTGGTGTAGTGCAAATAACTGGAAAGTGAAATGTGCAGTCCCTGAGTTCATAGTGTGTGAGTGGTGTTGGGGGAGGGAGGGGGAGGATAGGGTGCAATCCTAGTCTGTGGCAGTGGGCAGAGGACGGGGTGACGGTAGAGCAGGAAGGGAGTTGAGTCTCCTGACTGCCTGGTGGAAGAAACTATCTTTGAGCCTGCTGGATTTGGCCCGGAGACTGCGCAGTCTCCTCCCTGAGGGCAGCAGGCTGAAGAGGCTGTGAGATGGGTTGGTGGGGTCACCTGCAATCCTGATTGCTTTGCTGGTGAGGCGGGTCTTTACCCAGCAATGACAACTTTACGCTATTTCCAATGTGACTCGTGCTGTATTCATGTTTCCTAATATTGTTGGATAAATATTTTAAATCTACAATTCCTTGTTGGGTCCAACAGAAAAGTGAATTCCTAGCTACACTCGCTGTTAGCCAGTCCGTTAGCTGAAACCACGTAACACAAAACTACGATTTTGTCTTTTGTCCTTTTGTCCTTTTGTGTTATGTGTCATCGTTTGGATGATGTGTTCCCAATCTCTGTACTTCCAATTTTTCTCCAAACACTTTTTTCTTTCAAAAGAAAATTGATTAGAAAGTAAATAATCCACCTTGTTCATGTTCATGCCAACACCTGCCATACTACAAACTAGCCTCACTGTACTGTAGCTACTGCGCTGTGATTGGTCGAAGGTCACTGTGCTGTAGCTACTGCGCTGTGATTGGTCGAAGGTCACTGGCTTTTGGGCTGAATGAATTTAGCCCAGATGGGGGCGTGTCACAACACCTGTCAATCAAAAGTGAATGGAAGCTTACCCTACTGAGCTTGGGCTGAATGAATGTAGCCCATTCACAGGAAAAAAAACAAGATATATCATATATCCTGGGTTGTTTCTGTCCCTGGTTGGTGCTGTTGCTGCTTTAGGTTCTACCAACGTTTTAAACAATATGTTGTAATGTTTTTAATAATAGTTTTTCATCTTTACTGTAAAAGATAGGGGGGCCCTGTTAGCCCAAATATACCAGCCGTCCCTGTATATATATAAATACATATATATGTATATATATATGTATTTATATATATTTATATCTACCTGCCTCAGGTGTGTCTATCTGGTTGCTATAGAAACAATGGAAGCCACAGTTCAGTGGAAATAATCAAACTTTTTTTATTGTTGTAACCCTTTATGTTTGTGCAATGTAAGGATCAATAAGCCAAACTGTATTGATCTGTATGATGACTTTATTATCACAACACAGAAACACACAGAACCACAAACTACATCATGAAAAACAATATCTGCAGCACCAATAACTCACACTGTGGATTATATTATCACACTGTGGATTATAGTAAACATTGTTTTGTTGTTCTCTGTCAGACTGTAAAGGTTGTTTCCTGCATCTGAGGTAGCCAATCAGAGTCTAGTTTACATATAAAACGACAGCTGTTAGCATTAGCTAACAGGAAATGAGTTTTGGGGGATTATTTTGCTGTGGTACCGCCTGTGGCCACTGGGTTAAACTGGAAGCAAGACTGAGCCAGTCTTTAATGGTGGCTAATGTTAGCCATAGAGATAGTAGCTCAGTAGCTAGTAACATATGCTAACTAGCTACATTAGTCTGATATAGCTGGAAAGTTAATGTTAGCTAACATAATGTTTTATGTATTTCTGGACTGTGATTGGCTGCTGACGGAGAGACCACACCCCCTGGTGGAGCATCATGTTTTGCGTCCTCCATTTTGCTGAATTCTGAGTCGAGGACGAGCACAAGAACACACCACGATGACGCCGTGTCGTCAGTCTGTAAGCCCTGCCCCTCTACTCCTCAGTGGGCGGGGCCTCGTCCAGAGCTTCCTGTTGGTTTGGGTCGACATACTCCTGATTGAACGTTGCCGAATCAGCTCCCAGTTTGAACCTGTAGACGGCCAGTAGACACTGGGACACCTGCAGACACATTCAAACCAACAAACTTTATTTAAACAACAACTTTATTCACAACAGCTGCTCTACATCGAAGCAATGTTTTTATTTTCAGAATTAAACGTTAATAATATATTATTATTATTATTATTATTATTATTATTGACTAGACAAACAGTTCATTGTCTCCTTGCCGTCTCATACAGACGCACAGGCTGGTGACTAGGGATGGGAATTGAGAACCGGTTCTTCTTCAGAACCGGTGCCCAGTGAATCGATTCCTTGCAACCGTTAGCGTGCCGCTTAACGATTCCGCTTATCAGTTCCGCTCGTTGCAAATGCGTCATGACATCACACATGCACTGCGTTGTTTTGGTTCAGAACGCAGCGAACATGGCGTCGAGGCAGAAGCGCTCTAAAGTTTGGTTATATTTCACGAGAAAAGACGACAATACGGTCACTTGCAACACTTGTAAAGTTTTCATTTCGTCAAAGGGGGAACTACCTGAAGAAACACTACCTCCAATATGCAGAAACATTTGGCCACACAGCATGCAATTCATTTGCAGGACTGTCGCATGTTTGATGCACTACTACCTAGAGACACAAGTGAGTCAAGCCGCAGTGGAGCTAACGGGACGTTATCTGTTATCAATGCTGAAGGTAACTTTAAATGACATGATCATTTTTATGCACAAAAATTATTATACTTATTGGCTAAAAATGTGTGTCAAAATAAGTCATTTCATTGGTAACATTTTCGTGTAGTGACCTATCAACACATGGCTAATTTTAATATTCAAATGAGCCAAGTGCAGTTTCTAAGTTACCACCAGGCCGTCAATCCATCTCTCAGTGACAGAGAACTAACATTAGCCTTTATCTATCCAGATAAAAACAGTTTCTGTATGATGTTTATTAGACCTATGTAATCTGATTCGGAAGGCCACGTTGTCATGAGCTGTATCTTGTATATTTATTATTAGCTATGTGGTATGTGTATGCACCTTTATGTAATCTGCTGGAAAAACATTAAAATTTAAAACCGGATCATACCAAACAAATATCTGCTTGCATGTCCCCGTGTATGCAAAGTGTCCTCCTTTTTGATGTGAAGGAAATGGCCACCCTATTTCAGTCTGTGTTTTTAGTTTTTATGGCACATAATGGCAGTTGGGCTTTTTTGTCTGGACCAATTAATGTGAAAATGAACAATTTCAGTTCAGTCTTGCAGTCTTGATAATCTTTCAAGGCACACACTAGCGTGCTGTGGCATACTGGTTGAGAAACACTGCCCTAGGCTATCGGTCCCTGGACTTCACTTTGAGAAGTACCTCACCTACTTTTAGGTTTGTTCTGAGGTTGCTACACATAATTTGTGTATTATCTGTGCTGTGTCTTCTGATCAGATTTTAAAGCGAGTTAATACAAACAAACAAATTTGTAGTTATTCCCTCACCCAATGAGAATCGATAAGGAATCAGATCGATAAGCAATATTGATAATGGAATCGGAATCGTTAAATTCTTATCAATTCCCATCCCTACTGGTTACCGAGTCTTTACCTGAACCCAGGAGGCCAACCAACAGTTATTTCAAGTTTGGAGTTACAGAAGTTAAGTTGCTTGCGTCAGTTTACGTTTCTCTGAATGCTGGGCTACTTGTGGTTCCTATAGTCTCTTAAAGTAGAACAGGAGCCAGAACCTTCAGTTACCAAGCTCCTCTCCTGTGGAACCAGCTTCCAGTTGTGGTTCTGGGAGGCAGACACCCTCACCACATTCAAGAGTAGGCTTAAGACATTCCTCTTTGATAAAGCTTATAGTTAGGGCTGGATCAGGTGAGTCCTGAACCATCCCTTAGTTATGCTGCTATAGGCCTAGACTATCATGGGATTTCCCATGGTGCACTGAGCTCCTCTCTTCCTCTCTCTTTCTGCACTCATTCATGTCCCATTAATGCTTGTTACTAACTTCACTTCTTCTCAGGAGTTCTTGTGCTTTCTCGTCTCGCAGGTTCTCATGGATCCTGGTGGAGCCTCCTGCCATGGTCCTGCTTGACTGCCATTGCTAATATCACTGATATTAGTGTTATTATTATTACTGATATTATTATTATTATTATTGTACCTTTGTCTCTGACCTTCTCTCTTTACCACCCACCACCCTCTATGGTTTCGACATAGATTAGCTTAGCATATAGCATGTCTAAGTACAAGAAAGGAGGAAGTTGACTGAGGTTTGCCCAACTGTGATTGGAGCAGAGTTAAAAGAGGCGGGGCTTAGGAAGGGTTGAAGACACAAATCAGTAACTTTTTTTGAAACTTGAAATATTGAGTTTGTTTGAGGTTTTTTTGAAGGTCCACTTCCTGTTAATCAATATTGTGGTGAGCAGATCAATATGATCAATCAGTCCATGAACTCAACCAGTGTCAGTGTTTAATCGTCATCACAACAACAATAAAACAACATCACTCTGTTGCCTTGGCAACAGGAAGGCACTTTGGATGACAGGCACTTTCAGCAGCCAATCAGAGTCCAGACTGAGCAGACGAGGAAACAGGAAGCACAGGGATGCTTGTCTCTGATTGGCTGAAGGAGAGAGACGATGTTAGGCAGTGTGTGTGTGTGTGTGTGTGTGTGTGTAAGAGAGAGCGTGTGTATGTGTGTGTGTGTGTGTGTGTGTGTGTGTGTGTGAGTGTGTGAGTGTGTGAGTGTGTGTGTGTGTGTGTGTGTGAGTGTGTGTGTAAGAGTGTGTGTGAGTGTGTTTCAGGCGAGGGGGGGGCTGAACAGTTTGTTGTACTCTTCTTCAAATGAGACTCTCTTCAGACGCTCCAACGACAGCAGAGTGAGACCTCCCTACACAGAAAATATCACACACAAACACACAGAGATACACATAGATTATTATGATAAACGTTAATATAGTAGAGTAACAGAAAGTATAAATATTACAGTAAAATAAGTCCAAAGTGCCCTTAAAGTGAACCTGTTTCACTGTCGGTCTTCCATAGAAAGTCTCAGTGTTGATATTGAACAAGGAGCCAAGAACGGGGTAAACAAATGTTTATCGGTTTATTTGCTGCAGGCACAGAGCGACTGAGCATGCTCACAAAGTACAGTTACCCACCATCTGCATGATGGTGATGTTTCACCTCCAGCCCATAATAATCAGAGGTTTCTGTGATTTAATGTCAATAAAAGGATCAATATGATGCTGAAATATCACCACCATGATGGTCATTTGTTAAATGTCTGAATTCAGACTTTCAGTCTGTCTGCAAGATGACGAGCAACAACTTTTAAAGGTGAGCAGCCAGAAGACAACGGATTGCACCAATCAATGAATAAAGTTATACAGTGTCTGTACAGTAATCAATCAATAAAGTTATATAGTGTTTGTACAGTAATCAATCAATAAAGCTATACAGTAATCAATCAATAAAATTATAAAGTGATCAATCAATAAAGTTATATAGTGTCTGTACAGTAATCAGTGAATAAAGTTACGCAGTGTCTGTACAGTAATCAATGAATAAAGTTATATAGGGTCTGTACAGTAAACAATAAAGTTATACAGCCAGAGGATCAATATCAGATCAATAAAGATTATAGACACATTGTTAAACAGTTCTATTGATTTCTCATCAGTCAGCTGTTTACAGAAATATTATATTATTATTATCTTGAATGTTTATTGAAGGTGTTTTTTCTATCAGGACCTCTAACCAGTGTTCTCGATCAATGAAGTTGATCAGATCAGACATTTAATAGTCTCTTCTGCCCTCTGCTGGTTCATCAGTGTAACACACCCTATGTGTGACAGTCTGTCTCATTGTCTGTCTGTCTGTCTGTCTGTCTGACAGACAGTATATGTATATTATCCTCATTATATTATCCTCATATTATGCCCAATATATTATCTTCATTATATTATCCTCATTATATTATCCTCATTATATTATCCTCATTATATTATGCTCAGTATAATATCCTCATTATATTATGCTCAGTATAATATCCTCATTATATTATTCTCAATATATTATTTTCATTATATTATCCTCAGTATAATATCCTCATTATATTATCCTCATTATATTATGCTCAAAATATTATCATCATTATATTATCCTCAGTATAATATCCTCATTATATTATCTCATATTATGCCCAATAGATTATCTTCATTATATTATCTTCATTATATTATCCTCAATATATTATCCTCATTATCTTATCCTCATATTATCCTCAGTATAATATCCTCGGTATAATATCCTCATTATATTATCCTCATTATATTATCTTCATATTATCCTCATATTATGCTCAATATATTATCTTCATTATATTATCCTCAGTATAATATCCTCATATTATCCTCATATTATGCCAAATATATTATCTTCATTATATTATCCTCACTATATTATCTTCATTATATTATCCTCAGTATAATATCCTCATTATATTATCCTCATATTATCCTCAATATATTATCCTCGGTATAATATCCTAATTATATTATCCTCATTATATTATCCTCATTATATTATCCTCATTATATTATCCTCAGTATAATATCCTAATTATATTATCCTCAGTATATTATCCTCAGTATATTATCCTCAGTATATTATCCTCAGTATAATATCCTCAGTATATAATCAGCGCTGCTGATAATCATACACACACACACCGATCAGCGCTAACACAGTGAGCTCTGCCAGTAACACTGATTATCTGGGTATATCAGGGCTCCTATCAGTTGGGGGCAATCAGACAGTGAACATTTGGTCCTCAGAGTTGATGTCTTAGAAGCAGGAAAAATGTGCAGCATGAGGATCTGATCCACTTTGACAAGGACCACATTGTGATGGATGACTGGGTCAGAACATCTCCAACATGCAGCTCTTGTGGGGTGTTCCCGTCTGCAGAGGTCAGTACCTATCAAAAGTGGTCCAAGGAAGGAACAGAACCAGAGACAGGGTCATGGGGGGCCGAGGCTCATTGATGCAGGTGGGGAGTGAAGGCTGGCCCGTGTGGTCTGATCCAACAGACGAGCTACTGTAGCTCAAACTGCTGAAACAGTTAGTTGCAGTCTGTTGGTCTCGGACCAGTCAGGGAGTCCAGTGCTCACAGTGTTAGTGCTGATTGGTGGATGAAGTATTCATAGAGGCTGGAGAGTCTTCTGTAAATACTCGCTATGCAGCAGTGCGAACACTAAACCAGCAGGTGGCAGCAGAGACAGATGGGTCAGTGTTTACTTCCTGTCTGCTTAGGTGAGGCTTACAGTGTCAGGTGGTTCAGGTACGTACCCAGGTGAAGACAGAGAAGAAGGAGAAGACGATGGCAGCTCTGGCAGCGTCGGCACCTTCATCAAGAGGGTTGTCTTCCTGTTTAGAAACCTGCCACTGATTGGCCAGAAAGCAGAAGCCCACAAACCACACCAGAGCCCAGAGCACTACAGAGACCACATCAAACCAGAGATCACATCAGACCAGGTCACTAAACATACCAACAGGAACCAACATCAGAACCGCAGGAGGCGGTGTCTCACCTGACACCCCAATGTCGGCAACGACGGCCTTCTTCCTGTCCTTCACGCTGCTGATCCGAGGGAAGTACACGTCCAGTGCCAAGAAGGCCGTGCTGCAGAGGAAGCACAGCGTCGCCATGGAGACGGCATAGTTGCAGGCGTTATGGTTGCGGTTGAAGATGCAGAACTCCTCGACCTCCTCAGGACGGTTGATGTAGCCCTCATTAGCGACGCAGCCGAGGATGACGATGGAGAAGAGCTGAAGACAGAGAGAGACAGCAAAAAAAGAACACATTAAACACAAAGTAGGTGGAGAGGGTGAATGTGCTGAATGGACTAGGTTTAATTGTGGTTTATCCCCCATTGTGAAGTAATGAAATCAATTATCTGACATCGAGTAAGCCACATAAGCCTTCAATACTAGACACTAGTGCTGTAAACACTAGTGCTGTAGATACTAGTGCTGTAAACATTAGTGCTGTAGATGTTAGTGTTGTAAACCCTAGTGCTGTAGATATCAGTGCTGTAAACCCTAGTGCTGTAGATACTAGTGCTGTAAACACTAGTGCTGTAGATACTAGTGCTGTAGATACTAGTGCTGTAAACATTAGTGCTGTAGATGTTAGTGTTGTAAACCCTAGTGCTGTAGATATCAGTGCTGTAAACACTAGTGCTGTAGATACTAGTGCTGTAGATATTAGTGCTGTAAACACTAGTGCTGTAGATGTTAGTGTTGTAAACCCTAGTGCTGTAGATATCAGTGCTGTAAACACTAGTGCTGTAGATACTAGTGCTGTAGTTATTAGTGCTGTAAACACTAGTGCTGTAGATGTTAGTGTTGTAAACCCTAGTGCTGTAGATATCAGTGCTGTAAACACTAGTGCTGTAGATACTAGTGCTGTAGATATTAGTGCTGTAAACACTAGTGCTGTAAATATCAGTGTGTAGCAAGTCTTGCTACTATCATGAGTTCTCTCAGCACACAAAACCACAACACAGGTTAACAGTCCAGACCTTTTTATGTATTTCTCCGCCACACACACTATTCACACAACACTTGGCCTGCTTCAAAAGTCCACGAAGGTTTGCTCCACTTGTCCTTCCTGTTGTGTGTGTCGGCCTCCAGGTCCAGCTCACTACTGCATTAATAGAGGTGAGTGTGATTACTACCAGCTGAGATCATCAACTCACCTGGTGCTGCTCTCCCAAGCCTTGCCCATCTCTCTCTCTCTCTCTCTCTCTCTCTCTCTCTCTCTCTCTCTCTCTCTTTCTGTTGATTAAAGCTCCTGTGTGTGACATTACTGTAATATAATATTCATAGGTATGTTTTCATTAGTGTTTAATCACTTAAACCTTCACTGTAGTTTGTCACACTGTTTCCCAAACTATTTTTCTGGGGATCCACTTTTTAAAAATAACAAACATGGCGACACAGTTCACAGTGAGTGAATGAAACTAACAGAAAATTTTTACTGCTGTTTCTGCATCACGTCAGATCATGTTATGTAACAGATGAAGCAGCCATTTAAAGAGACATATGTTTGATTAATCACAATGTGTTTGATGAATGTGAAAACATGTTAAATATTTTATTATTAAGACCTAATGAATGCATTCAAGAGTCACTGTAACAGGCTGTCTCACTGTTTTTATTTCCTCTCATCAGTAAAACAATAAACACATTTTAAATACTTTATAATGAGAATAAATAAATTCATTAAGCAAATGAAATCTGACACACCAACAGTTTATATACACACTGAAGGCTGAGCTGCAATCTCTAAGTTCATCACCAGAGGGCTCTAAATGCTACACACTGGAGCTTTAATCAGCCAATCACAGAGCAGCACAGTGGAACAGTGAGGGTTTGTTTCAGGAGTCTCGTGTTGACTCTCAGGAATGTTAACACCAAACTCATGACTCACACACACACACACACACAGACACACTGACCAGATGTTTTCAGTTCAAACTCTCGTTATAATAATAATAATAATAATAGTTATAATTATTAGGGCCAGAGCAAGCAACCTCTGCAAGACTTGATTGAAATACAAGGACTTATTTTTCTTCCAAAATGATCACAGTTTGAAAGCTCTGCACACAATTCAATTGTAGGAGAAATTTATAGAATCTTTTGGTCACAAATTGGCTTAACCACACCCACAAAATCAGCCCCCAAGACACATACAACTGACATGTATGAAATTTGGTAAGCACCTGTATCATGACCAGACAACTGACCCTACAAATCCAACAGGAAGTCGGCAATTATGAATTATTGATTTGGACCGACTTGTGTTCTAAAGAACGAAGCGATTCACGATTAAAAGTGCTTTATTCCCGAATGGAACACAGCTGCTAGCTTAGCTAATTTACAGCACAGTCGCTAGCTTAGCTACAAACACGTATCACACAGAAATCCTTCACAACAGTGACTGACAGCTTTAAAAGCTGTTAGCTCTTTTAGCTCTGTTAGAACTGCACTAAACTGAAATTAATATCAAAGTAATGACTGACCAGCAACTTTAAATGAACAAATAATAAACAGTCAGTGAACACACTTGTTAGCATTAGCATTAGCAATCAATCAAACTTTATAGCACCTTTCATACAGTTGAGTGCAGTTCAAAGTAAAGCAGACAATTAGCATTAGTCCAGTGTGTTAGCAGTTAGCTCACCACCATCAGAGCGGTAACCACTCAGCTGTTGTGACATCATCATTGCATCATCGTGACATCATTGGACTCACCCAGCAAAGGATCCTAATGGCGGTCTGAGGCTGTCTGAGGAAGGTCAGTGGGTCAAAAGCTCCACCTGCCTTCCCCGCCCCGTACGCCTGGAACCCATCCATCAGACCACTTCCTGTTCCCCACAGACCAGCACGGACCAGCACGGACCAGCACAGACCAGTTCAGTCTACTAAAACACTCACTCAGCTCAGTCCAGTTAGATCCTGCTCTGACAAGTTAGAGTCCAGTTTTGTCCTGTTTGGTCCTGGTTGGTCCGTAGTCCTGTTCTAGTCTCTGGTCTCTTCTTCTTCTGTGGTTAATCTGCTGTAATCCTCCTCATCCTCCTGAGAGGCTCTGAGGGTTTTATCACCCTGAGCTCCGTCTGTCAGGCTGAGCTCCACCTCCAACCAGCTCCACCAATCACAGGCTTCCTGAATCATTGTGTCGAGGTCAGAGTCCTCCAATCAGAGTGGAGGGGGTGGAGTTACCCTGCCTGACAGGAGGTGCTGCTGGGGGCAAAACTTAGGGAGAGAAATCTGAAGGAAGGCTTTAAATAATAAAAAAACACACCAATCAATTCATTATTGATCAGCACGATCAATAATGAATTGACACAGTGTGTGTGTGTGTGTGTGTGTGTGTTTTAACAGGATCAGTTCCTTAACAAAAGCTTGACTGTATATATTTATTGTATAATCAATATGTAAAGATTGAATGATTGTTTATTTAAAATAAGACAAAAGAAATGACAGATTTATTAGTTTCAGGTGTTTATTGATAATAAACAGGTAATAACTGTTAATAATAATGTCCTGCAGTAAAATATGAGTACTAGTAGAAGTACACAGACTGTGTACTGTCAGAGTAATCAGAGTAATCAGAGTAGATTCCAGCTGATGAGGAGTTGGTTTAATTTCCTGCTGAAGGAGAAACAAACTGTTTGTTCAGCAATAAGACCACAGAAGAAGAAACAAAGTAATAAATAACAACAGCTGCTTCATGTGACAATAATCATCTGATCAGTAATCTT